CGCTTGATAATCGGTGGCTTTATCTTCAACAGGAACTTGATTATCTCCCACACTAGACAATGGTGGTGGTTGACTGTTGACCCTTGGCTCACTCGGACGCACGGAAGACGGGTCGGTTGCCCGATGTTCCGCACGATCTGACACCGATGATGGCTCATCGGCAGGCACAGGCTCTCCGGACGGCATTGCTGGCAGACCAGGGTACTGCTCTGGTACAAGGTCTATGTACTGTTTACTGTCAAGCTTACCGGATTCAACCAGATGCTTTATCCCTAGCAAATCCATATGGGGTGTCTCGACGAGTTTCTTTTCGTCTTGGGTTGATGGTCGAACCTGCTCGGGAGCACACCTAAAGATCTGACGTTTATGGATGAGCACTACGTTCCGACCTACATATCCCAGCACCACGGCAGGACCATGCCATCGACCGGTTCTATCGAGAGACCCATGAATCCACTTCTGCGAACGCCAGAAGGCAACATATGTGCCTGGCTCATGCCATTGATTTGTCCGTGGTCGAGCAGCAAGCGCCAACCGAAGTGATTTGCTATCTTGCAAGTCCAGAACGGCCTTCCGAGCGGACTGCCGGATGGCCACTTGTTTTGCCAAAGCCTCTTCGTACAAGGAGGAGGTTGCAGGCACGACATCAAGAGGCTCATCGAGCAGATTCTCAGGAATCCGAGGATTCTTGCCAAACACAAATTGGGATGGCGTCATCCCGTACACTTGGATCAGCTGGTTCTTGCAATGGGCGGCATTGACACAATCTATCCATTGCTCTTGATTGACTGGTACATGTTCGGAGAGTACTTTTTCGAGCACCCGTGCGAACCAACCTCCATGGACCTCAACCTTTCCTAATTGCCAATGGGCGTCAGCCGCTATCAACTTAAACGTGGCGCCACCCTGTTCCAAGATAGATGCAAAGGCATCTGCCAAGTTCGCTTTATGTGGATCGCACACAATCTCTTGCGGCATACCGGCCCATGAGACCCACCTTTCCATGAAAACCCTTTTGAGGATCTGGGAGTTCTCTCTTTGAAAGATAGGCACGACAATTTGCAGGGAACTAGCATGATCTATGATGTTCACAGCGGGAATCCTTTGGTTTACCCCCCATCCAGGAAGGTATTTGATATCAACACCAACCAGGGCATTGAACTCTACCACTCTCTGTGGCTGTGCTGGCAGGGCTACCTTTGGGCTCTTCTGCGCAAGACATTGGTCGCAATGGAAGTCTCTGGCGGCATCGATGGCTGTCTGAGACGCACCTCCATGTTTCAAGATCCTGAGCATGTGTTGATTTGTTGGATGACCCAAATTTTGGTGTAACCTCTTGAGACTAGTCTTAACCTTTTCATCGGATTCTTCATTCAGCTCAGCCAGCGTATGTGCTACCAGACACTCTGTACTACTATCGTCGACGAGGACCAAGCAGTCCGTCACTGGCAACCCCCGCACGAGTCTGAGTACGGCTTTCACGAATGCTGGGGTGTACTTGGCTGCATGCTTGCTTATGGATCCTACCATGGCATGTTGTCCTGCTACAACCTGATGTGTTCGATGGCTAGCATGCGAGGATCCTGGACACTGCTTGGCCAAAGCTCTCATCTCTGCATGAGAGACCAGCAGCCGGGTGGCTTTGCGAATCAGATCACCACCTGGAACGCGAAGGCCGTAGCAGCACATGTCAACCGAGATGATATGCATCTTCTTGCTAAGCTTTTCCATGGACGGTAATTTCCAGGCTATCGAGTCTCTAGGATGCTCAAACAAACATTGTCCTCCTAATTCGTACTGGAGTTCCATGAGCTCACAACAGAATTTGATGAACAACTGTGTCCAAAACTCCCTGGTTCTGACCTCATTCGGACTCATGCGCAAACGGTTGAGATGCCACCAACCACCTGCCCAGGTGCAGGGCGGACAACAGACCAAAAGCTTAGGTCGACTGACACGGACATGCTGCATGAGAGCTTCCCGGTCCGTCCGTTTCCTGAAGTCCCAACCAGTGCACAAGTCAGCGGAAAGAACCCTCATACCTAGTTTGGAACCCTCGAGGCCAAAACGAGGTGGTGAGAACACTTCGATCACGTCGTAACGATCGCTATCGTCTCGACTCGGAGCCTTTACCTGGGCCATCAACTGACGGTGTTGTTTTGCCGTCCAGTGCATGATGTGCAACTGTTCTTCCTCAGTCGAAGGAAGGGACGGCGGCAACGCATGGGCGAGAAGCCGAAACACCGTTTTCCCAGTCCATGGTTTGGAATCATGAGGTGCATGAGCTTCCATCGGATTGGTCCAATCGTCCTGAAGGTCCCTGATTATGGAAGTGGGGTTATTGACCTGTGTGACTCGAACATGCTGCAAACGGCTCACCTCGACTGGACATTGTGTGTTACAGGGAGTGAATCGATGCGTTCTTGGCTTGAGGTGATGACGAATCACAGTCCTATCCTGAGGCCGATATTCCCAATAATCTTTACACTTGTTAATGTGATGATTATATTCGACCGAGAGGCAAGGTGACTCCGGCGTTTCGGATGCCGGGATTGGCTCAGGAAATTTGCTCGAGGCGTCATCTGGAAAATCAGTGACGCGGATCGAATACTGTCCAGCTGGATTGATTTCCATCGGAATGTTCACCTTTCCAGAAAACAGGGACAGCTGATCGGTGGCAAAGTCAATCTGAGCACCTAGCCTTTGCATCGCCGGTCTCGACAGCAGGAGGGGTGCAGCCCCCTTCACAATGGCTGCTTTGATGTAGCCAGGCCTTCCGGCCAAATAGACAGGCATGTCCACGGCAGCTGTACTGGTTTCTTGTTGACCATTGCCGAACCGGAAACTGTTCTTCTCGGCCCTCTCCGAGGGACACGGAACGCCGTGAGTCTTCCAGATCTGGCAGAAGGCCTCGTAGGTGGAACGGCCGATGATGGTCTTGCCGCAACCGCTGTCCAAAATGGCATAACCTGGACTGCTGACCAACATCACTTCAACATCACCACATGTCGCAGCGGTGCAAATGAAATGCTCTGCACCATCTTGCTCAACCACCTGCACGGCTCCAGCAGCATGGCTCGCGTGCGATGAGGCACCAGACGTTGATGCCCCGGTGGACTTGCATTCACGTTGCCAATGGCCGATCTTGCCGCATTTGCGGCAACGGGTCCTCTGCTTGAGCTCCTCCACTTGGATCCGGAAGGAACGTTTGGTGTCTTTGCCAGCGAATTGTCCTCTTCGACCATCTGAGGCGGTGAACTTACGCCCCTTCTGAACCATGTTCAACTCAGCTCTCTTCTCCCGCCAGGTGGCGGCGAGGATCTCAGCGGCGTCATCCTCATCAATACCCTCAGGATCATAGCCATCATCCTGAGCAGTGAAGGCATCTTCATAGCCATGCTCAGTCAGAAAGAGCTCCACATCTTGGAAGCCGTCGTCGTCAGTCGGTCCATGGAAAGCTTCCTCGACGGCATGGGCACCATATGCTTTTTTCTTGGGCACGACGTAGTCGGGAAAGCACGATCTCATAGCCTGGGCCAGTTGATCAAATTTGAGATCACCTTGAGCTCTTGCCAGACATACGGCACGATGCTCTTCTGACATGCCGCTGCAGTTCAACAGGATCCAGCCACGAGCTTCATCGGGGAATTTGACGCCAGTCTTTCTGGCGCACTTGTCGAAGCATTCTCGGGCCCTTGCGCGCCAGACCCGGACCGACTCACCCTCTTTGGCCTTTAAGGCAAAGACCTCAGCGATGTTCTCGCCGATCTCGTCGGTCCTATCCAGCTCCGGCCAACGCCGGTCAAGGAGGTTGAAGATGGCGGCTTCGCCCCCTTTGACCTGGTAGTCAGACTCTTTGAGATGCTCTACCACCTCCAGCGCTTTGCCTGATAGCAAGGTCCAGATGAAAGAACCACGGGCCTCTTCGGGAAGTTTGTCCATCGTTCTCATTTTGTTCAAGGCCCACTGCTTCCATCTGCGGTACTCCCTGTGGTCACAGTCGTCGCCACTGAAGTACCTCAGTGACGTCCCCGCTTCCATCGCTGCACAGTCGCGTGAAACGGCACACTTCCAGCGTGCCCGGAAAATCAGGTGGAGCCAGGAATGAACCTGGCTCCGCTACCAATATTGGTAGCCCCGCTCCGCGCCCCGCGCGGCCTTTTCCGCCATTCGGGCATGAGAGTCCCTGCACAGTCGCGACCACTGACGATCAACATATATATATATATATACATACTTACACACATATGCACACCTCTCTTCATGAAGGTAAAACTCAAAAAGCTCGTTTGCTCGTTGGGCTTCTTCCGTTTTGGGCTTCTTCGTCGTCGCTCGTTGCCTGGTCGTCCCAGCTCGGAGAGAGACGACTTCATGACCCACCGGAGTTTCTCTCCCTCGGGTTCCTCGAGCCCAAAAGGGGGGCAAGCGGTCGGCGGTCTGACCGTTGTTTTCTTTAAACATGCATTTGCAGCATCTGGCAGTCTGAATCAGCCTGATCAGTGTTAGATAGTCTGCAGTTATCCAACATGCACTGTATGACAATGGTGTGACACCGTCTGACCTGCTGCCTACCAGGAGATTTGTCTATTTAGTGGTACAGTATGAAGGACAATTCGTGTGTTGAGTACTCTCACCCGACAAAACAAAGCAAGGAACACTGAAGAGTTGTTCATGGCATGGTTTGACGTATCGTGCACAGCCATAGCACATGAACAATCCATGGCATCACAGCTGGACAAGTTACAACACCATCCCACAGCTGGTCAGAATGACCTGGGGTTCGCGGAATCAAGGTCTGGTCAAATGTGCGTGAGTTCCCACTTCCAGATACTTCCAGGATCACTGGCTGTGTCATGGGACTACTCATTCGCAAGTAGTGAAGGGGGAAGTCAACGAGTGTCTGAAATGATGTAAACTGACCCAAACATCTCAGAAGCACGATGCCTGAAGGGCCTAGGCGGCCTAGGGTTGCTCTTTCTCACCTGTGGTGCAGATCCCGCCTGCATAATCGCCGTGCGCATCTCTACGCCTCCCCTGGCAGTGGCCAGCAGGCTCATCAACGCGGTTTGCCTCTCCTGCGAACAAGACAACAAAGGGATACATACATGAATACATGCTTTAGCATAATTTCTGTTAACCCTTTCTGGGACGCTTCCGCAACCTTGCTGCAATTGCTTGGGTCTTGTATCAGTTTGCTTCAGTCACCGAGCACCTAATGATTGTTGCTATTATAATATAAAATAATATATGATAATTAAGCAATTGTTTGCTGAACATTCCTGAACTACATTGAACTACAGGGTTGGTTCGAGTTGGTGCTTGTTTGATGTCTGCAATCTGGGCAGTTTTGTCCTTGGGTTGTATGGGGCTGCTGAGCTTTTGAGGAGTTTCTGCGAACCTTTCAATAAATCTGGGCCTTTCGCGAAATGTCCTTGTACCTTGAGTTCTTATTCATTCACTTTCGCATCCAGTGCGTCCACGCAGCTCGTAGCCCCCCCCAAAGCTTGCTTCACATTCACTTCGAAATATGAAGATCTGCACAACTCCGCAAGTTGAACTCTTCCAGAATATACTTTGAGTGCACCCTGCAGGGAAAGAAACTCAGTAGATTTTCCTCTTTAGCTTCCTCTTCACTCTTGTGCCCTGGGCCCCCCAGGACGGCATGAACAAAAAATGACATGCCGACAGCCTCAACACTGTCACTTCGCAATTGCTTTACCTCGACCGGGTCGTCTCAAGTCGACACTCAGGGTCTATATCGACTCTCTCTGACGTCTTAAATAGAAACATGCGTATACCGTATACCCCAATGATGTACAAATCTCTTCCATTGAAATGTTTGCTTGGAAAACTGCAACATTGGGCAAAACGACGATATGAGGTATGGTTAAAATTCAATATGTGCGGCATTGTGCGATATCGTCGGATTTGCGAGTGTACTAGCGACTTTATTGCACTCCATTTCTGGAACAAACAACCTGCTGAGCTTCTGACATAATAGATAAGCTCTGGACTACGTCCACGGCCAAGATGTTTCGGTGCGCCAAGCATTGGAAAATCCATGGGCCTTCCACATTTCAAATTTGCAAGGAACACCTGAAAATGGAGATGTTAAAACCAATTGATATTGTTGGAACAATCTGCCAGCATTACAACGTGCGATCTGCAAATACAAAAATCTAGAACATTGCCAAACAAGCAGGCTTTCGCCACATGACTTACCGCCTTGACGAAGGAAGAATATTGATGGATGGGCCTTGACAAACAAAACACATTGTTTGCGGAGCGAACATGCTTGCCATGTTCTCCGCAAATCTGCAGCTGTTGTGTTCGCAAAACTGCAAACACAAAAATGCAGAACATGGCCAAGGCTGGCAAGAGGTTCAAAATCGATGCCTGGGCTTACGCTGGCCAGAAAATCCAAGCACGCCACTCGGGCCCACAGCAATCATCTCTGGGGCTGCTTCTTGCGCTGGCAGAGGGCCTGGGGGCCGGTATCGACTTTACATGAAGGCCCAGTTGCACAATACCTGGCCAAAAAGTCGCTAGATGATAGAATGGAGTCATGATGACTGATGACTCCGTTTCTGTTTCGGAGTCACCATGGTGTTACTCCTGGTCCTGGTCCCTACAACCGACTTCCAAATCTGGAGCTTGAAATTGTATCGTGTCGATGAATGAAGACCTGCATAAATCGCATAAATAGCATACTGCCCTTGTAATATCTTGTAATCCTTTTGCCTTGGACATGTAAAACTTCCAAGTCCACAGCTTTGCCCCTCCTGTATGAATGTAATTAAAAAAACACAGCGTTGAAGCAAACCGTGGCCAGGTGTACAATGTTCAACTGTTGCTTCCACCGGGACGGTCAGGCCACAAAACATCCAAATGTGTCAAGAAAATGCCTGAGCAGCTCACTCACTGGGATTTCTGTGCTTTCTGCACTTTCGCCTGAGTCTGGAAGACGTAAAGAAAGCAACATTCGTGTACCGGCATGTACACTCAGCGGTGCAACTGATGCAAGGGGTTGGGACAGTGCAAACGCGTTGATGCTGATGCTTATTGAAAGCAGCGTCTCACAGTCACACTCTTTTAAATCGATGCAAAAAGTATCAAAAGACATCTCTGAGGTTCACAGCGCTCATGGATGTATTGACCGCTACAGTGCAAAGTCATCCCACACTTATGATGTTTTACAATAAAGCAAGAAGCTACTAGTAACAAGTGCACCGCTACTAGTAACAAAACATTACTACTAGTAACAACAAGCTACCAGTAGCGATGCACTTGTCACTAGTAGCGATGCCCTTACTACTAGGTGCAACAAACAATTAGAATAGTCCTCCCGAATTGAGCCACTCTTGGTCCAGGTGAGCGGCTCAATTCCACCGGAAGCACTGAGGCAACTTCATGCACTCCTTGGACCAGCAAACTGTGCACATTCTTCTTGTTACTACTAGTAACAAGTGCCACGCTAGTAGTAACAGGTGCCTTACTAGTAGTAACAAAGAAGCTATTAGTAGCTTCTAGTCTTGTTACTACTAGTAAGGCACTTGTTCCTAGTAACGCGATGCCCTTGTTCCTAGTATTGCAGTCTTCTTTTTTCATTCTTCCTTAGTCCTTTGAGTGACACCGCCCATGTGGTTCCCATATGTTCCCATGCCCTTTGAGTCTTACTTGATCTGACTCCACTGGTCCGCTCTCCGCCGTAAAGCCCACTGAAAAACACAGCTGTCGTGCGCACATGGCCTGGTGCTTCGCGCTTGGTCATGTGGAGGCCACCTGGAGCATTTCGGGCATCGAATCGCGGCATCGAACGGGGCTCCTGGCCTTCCTACGAACGGAGCGTTTGGATGCTAACGGAGCAAAGGGCACAACCACTGCTTCGAATGCAGTGTGCCAAATGGTCTCCCTCGTCGGGTCGTTGAGAAACCTCAACAAGAGTTGGCCTGCGACGGCCGCCAAGAGTGCTGCCAAAGCAAGCAATTGACGAGGTGCGCGGCCTGTAAAAAGAAGCACACGAATGTCTGCAAAAAGCTTCGGTGGTTCAGTTATGTTGAGTGGAACAAACACATTCTTCAGTTTTGTTTGGAGCATCATGCTGTGACACATTGTCTAGCCTGGGAACAAACATTGACAAATAAAACAACACAAACAATATATACAATACACCTATAACGCACTAGCAACAGGTCTTTATGGCTTGCCATGCAATGCCATGCATGGTCATTCAGCCTTTAAAGATTGGTTCAATGTGCACAAGCCACAACAGGAAGAAACTAGTTATCTTCCCCAAAATCCACTACAACTATTGTCCAAGTCTCGAGTCCATTATCAATAGTCAACATAGATCTACACAGCAATCCAAAAAGAGTCTCCTGGTCTGCCATTCTCTCAGCTTCGGAATACCCCAACTGCTTGAGGCTTCTGCTCGCTGTGGCCGCCTTCGATCTGGCCTCAAAACAGGTGATTGGCAACGATCGTCTTCACGAGAACCCGAGTTCGCATAACATTCCCTTTGCACCGCAAAAGTTAACCAAGACAACAGCATAGACTTATCGGACTCATGATTCATGACTTGTGCATCTTGTGCCTGATCACTTTTTGTCAGCTGCAGCTGCAAGCGTGACAAGTCGGTCTGGGCCTGCGGTTTTGATTGTTGCACACCGAATGAAATACAAAACAAGTTACGAAGTTAGGATGATGGCCTTGTTTGCTGCCTAAGTGCTGAATATGTCCTAACAAAGAACTCAACAAAGACGACTTCGCGGCCGTCAATGAGAGTCCTCAACCTGTAACATAGATCAACGTAGATCAATATTGCGTTGTCGACTTCTTGTGAACCAGCTCAAAGGACATAATGTGTATTAATGTTGATTTCCCAAAATCGACCAGAAGATCAAACAGCAGTGAAACTTGTTTCAACAAAAAATGGCTCAGCCACTGCTTATCTCCTTGGCAGTGCCTTATGTCACTTGTATATATGTAGGAGAAGCTATGTATGCTGTATATACTCTTACACAACGGCCGTACGACTTGAGAACTTTAATGTTAAGACCAGAAAAAGGAAAAACACACTCTTGCTCTTGACTTTGCACAAACAACGAGTCCGGAAAGTCCCTGAGGGACGGCCTGAGACTCGGCTTCCGCGACCGATGCAAATGCAGTGCCTTGGACACGAGTCTCGGTCACTTGCGTATATGTCACTCTCGACCACTTGCTAGTAACAAGTGCCACGCTAGTAGTAACAGGTGCCTTACTAGTAGTAACAAAGAAGCTATTAGTAGCTTCTTGTTACTACTAGTAAGGCACTTGTTACTAGTAGCGATGCCCTTTGTTACTACTAGCTTCTTGTTACTAGTAGTAAGGCCAGGAGCCCCTAGTATCTGGTTGCCACTAAGTGGCCTTTAGAATTGGCCTTTTGGAGTTTTGTCAAAGTCAAAAAATCAGTGATTGACTTTTGTGGCTTGCTGCATTCCTGCCCAGAATGCTGGAAACCATGCAAATGGGGTGCACTCAAGCCCTGGCCGTGCGCAGCCAATTT